AAATACGATCATTTTGCTTATTTTGAACTATTTTCAAAAAATAAATACTTTTTCACACGAAAATGACTTCTGAACATATAAAAATCAGTTTTGACTAGATAGCTCGATGAGCTTTAACCAAACATACCAAGAAAACGATAAATGAGATAATCGACATTGAGATAATCATTGAATTAACGCATAGACTGCTTTGACATAATCAGGAGAGACCCGATAGGGTGAGGATCCTTCCTCTGCTAGGATTTGTTCCTAGGATTCTATCACTTGAATCCTACATCAGCTTACACTATAAAACCTATCAAATGCTGTGAGTTTCTCTATAGGATTACCTAGGATTTTGTCAGAATTATATTGAGAGAATTTGTATTTTTACTGGTAACAACTCATTAAATGTTTTTCAACAATACATTCTGTGTTGCGGTCAATCAAGAAATTTGTCTATTTGACCACTGACTACTGGATGATGAGCCATGTAAGTAACTGTACGGAAAGTTCCTTCACTAGGTTAAAGCACAGCAGCCTTGGCTTAGAAAGAAATCACCGTGGTGCCGTAACATTAGTCAGTGATCAGTTATACTATTATCATATTAAATTTGCTGGGAAAGAAAGGTACTGTTTGCTCGTCAAAAAATACTTAGCACACCAAGCAGTGTTTTGTTATGAACGTAACTAATAAATATCTGTCAGTGTTAGTTTTTAAACCGAAAATGACTTTTCGCCACCGTTAGCATAGTCTGTGTTTTTGGAGTTTCTGAAAAACAGGTTTTCCAAAAGACTGGATCTTCGAAGAGCTATGGGGAAGTCCCGTGATCATATTCGGAATTAACATGGCCGATAACCTATAACCCTTTAGCTGTCGATCAAAAAGCGATTTATCACCTCGGGAGGTTCCCTCGTGAGTAGAAAGAGATACAGAAATCCTTTAATTTACACTTAAAAGTATATTTCTTCCTATACAAAAAGAATCTGATGAATCGAAAAAAGAAAAGAAATTAGTTTATAAAATTTCTTTTTTAAATTGTGATAAGTGTTATATTGTTGAAACAGGTAGGAAGAAAAGGTTTAGCCTCGATTCGTTCCTAATTGATTTCTCAATTCGTCCCTTAAAATAGTTTTCTCCATTCGTCCCTTAAATGCACGCATAGGCTAAATTAGTATTATTATATTTATTTTTAGAAAAATGAAATGAAAAAATGTAGCCATGTTGTTAATGAAAAATATCATTTTTTAATTGGAGGGTATATAATATATCGTTGTTGCTGTTGCTATTAGCATTCCTTGGAAGAAAATGACGACTCATACCAATTTGTTGAAGTTTTCTCCATAGCGATTGTGCGTAATGAAAGAAACACCCATTAATTTTGATGTTTGTAAATACGTTATTAAATGAATTTATAGTAACGTGTTCAAAATGACATGTCAAACGTTGTGGCTTCATAACAACATGAAATTTTTGTCCAAGTGCAATTAAATAATTTACGATTTTAGTATATGCAATTTCATTTTTCTTCGTTGTTAAACAATAAGCACACGGAATCATATATCCGTTATAAAAATCGAATATAATGTACAATTGAACAAATAATAATGGACGAACACTAAATGTACCATCGGAATGCCAAAGCGAACATGATGATAAAAAACGAATGCCCCATTCTGAACCAAAAATCATTAAACGGTCACTACCATCTAGAAGTAAATAAACTTCCAAAATAACTTCCAAAATAGTTGCATTGTTGAAAGAAGGTTTGAAATTACTTACATTTTTCATCAACTAATAAAAAATCATCACCATTTTTATCTAATTTCCATGTTCCAATTAAATTAATTTCTTCTACAGTTCTTGGTAATTTTGGATAATTTTGTGCACGACGGCGATAAAGACTGGCATCAATTTTATCGAATGATGGAAATATTGTACCTGTAGCTAGACCAGGATTTTCAACTCTAGCTTTAATCATTTCTTCAGAATAAATTTTTGGAATTGGAATTGTTTCTTCCCGTGCTCGCTTCTTCATTCGACCAATAACATCATCAATAATGACTCTTTTTGTATTTGCTGTACATGTATGACTTGTGTTTTCACGAATAATTAATTGGTCTTGAGAACATAAAGATATTGAACTTGTGCAACTTCTATCACGACAACGCCATTCATTGCAAGTTTTATGTTCTCGTTTCTTAGTATATTGATGATCTTTATAATTTTTACCACGTTCAGTGAGAGTGAAATGTAACATATTTCGGATAATTTTTGTGTACTCCTACTGAATATCCTTAAGTTTATATAGGTCTGTGAGCTTCTTTTTTTAGGCATCTTAAACGGCTCTAAATTGTAGCTGTTTATATATTGTTAATTATTATTGTTGTCCTTTTTTACGAAATTAACTAAATTTAAATAATTTAGCCAATGCGTACATTTAAGGGACGAATCGAGAAAACTATTTTAAGAGACGAAATGAGAAGGGACGAATTGAGAAATCAATTAGGGACGAATCGAGAGGACACCGAAGAAAATAACAAAGATGAAAAGACATAAATCTGGCATTAAAAGTACGCTAATCACCTAATGTTACCAGACATGGTAATGAGGAAAAATATTCATTCGATTTTGCAAGATCAGAAACCCTGTCTCTCGAAACGAATTGGCGAAGAAGAATCGTTAAGGAAAGCCTATTTACACAAGAGACGCATCGAAAATCATTGAAATGACATAATATTTCGATTAAATATTTTTACATAATTAACAATTATTGGTCTCTTCCTTCTCTTTTGATCTATTAAGCTATAATCTATATATAGTGAGTTTATTATTCAAGTTATCGTTGTTCCCGAAGATGATAAATGTATCTTATCGAAATCTCGAATAAACCAATAGAAGGATTTTTAAATAAAATCTATAATGACAAGCAGTTCGAAGCAGTTTTATACTCGATAGTTTCTAAATTATTAGCTACTACGTAACCTTCGAATTATTTATACTCGAGTTTTGTTCCGTAAATCAAAGTATCTGAATAAGGAAAAAAAATATGTTTTTCTCAGTAGAAGTTATCATTTGGTATCGGACAGCCGTGGCCTTGTATACCATTCTTCTTATCGCGAAATATTCACGTTATTATATTCACGCGATTCACATTATTTGTTTTTTCTATATAAACAAATATTTAGCTTTTAAAACACAACTCCCTGTTAGATAGATCTTGAAACCTCTTTCGAATTTGCATAAATAAGAAGTCTTATAATTCTCATTCTTTCGACTAGGCCGTACTTTCTGCAAAGCCATATTTTGAGTATGGCGAGGTTTTCCTTCTTGGTTACCTGCTCGTTTTCAAAAGAACATCCCAGAAATATCACATATGGCCAAGCCGAGTTCATTATTACAGTATTTTGTGGAAAACGGAAGACGGATACTTGGAGCTCAAATAGCATGTGGTAAAGCGATTCACTTGAACGAAGATCTTGAACACTGTAACCCTACACGAACATTTTTCCTTATTTCTGGTAAGAATCTTATCTGACTCTTAGCGAATTCCTACACAAGAAGTCCGCATGAAAATGGCAAGAATTTCGTACGAATCCGGTAAGATTCAAATAAGAATGAGCTATGACTTTGATAAGACGCTCTTATCACCTTATTATCACTTCCTTATAGACTTCCTACTAAAATCCAATCACCATTTTATTTCGCAGAACCACATACTGTATCAGGGAAGCCGTCAAAACTATAAACGAATCATTCGGATCATTTGTAGAATAATGTGAAGCGCTCCTCTGTGATATTTGTATAAGAGAGAAAATATATAAAATCTATCTTTTCTTATCCATTTTATTCATTTTTTCCAATAGATTACTTTTTATTAACTCTTATATATAACACATCAAAGAACACATTATAAATGTGTTAAT